CAAGAAAAAACCACGGCTATGCACAATATGGCAAATAGATTAAGTACAGTTTAATGGGATTTTTAACTGTCATTTTTACTGGTTACTCTTGATAGCCTCTTTCTTCTCAATAACCATATAAAATTGCTCAATCGTTTCATTTCGAGCCAATTAAAGGCGGTAAAGGTCTTTGCAATATTCTTTTTTACTTAGTCCTAATTTATAGTTGTCTCCAACTGCTACTCGCCCGATCCATAGTAGAAGTGTCTAATACTAACTTCTTGGTCACCTTAGTTCACTTAGAGTGATTTAAGTAATGATAGTGTGGTTTTTCCCACTATACTATGAGCAGGTCTAACAATACCATTGAATTCAACTTAGTCTTACTGCTGGTTTAGCCTCGTTTTGGCAACTGTGTCGAAACGGCAGGGAGACATTGTGAAGCCTATCTAGTCCTGCATCTTCTGCCCTTTAGTGTCCCCGATTATTTCAAGCATCTGATCGTTGACTTGATTAAACCCTAAACGTTTCGCCTGAATTCTTAGTGAGACTGGGTGCACCTTCAACTCCAAGGACAAATCGTCCGGTACCATTGGAACTGGCCAGACACGTCGGACAAACTCGAAGGCTGCTGCCGCCAGCCAGATCAGCAGTGCGTCGAGCCCTGCGTCGGGCCCAGCATCGACGTCGACTGTCTCCACGCAATCCTCTTGTCGTCGCCTGTTATCCGATCAGCGGTTTCTGGTGTCCTTCATTCGTCATTTGGATATTCCACACACCCTAATACAAGCCAAAACCTATCTTGTCTGTTCGGCTTTCCTGGCCACCAGTCCCTCGGAGAGTCAGCACATCGCCTGTCAAACGCATTTGCCGGCCTACCGGGCGCGCCATCTCTAGATCAGAGTCACAACTTATCAAAGTGACAATTGAAGGCAATCCCTTCCAACAAAAATAAGCACGGGGAGTGATACCTCAACAATTGAATAGAAAATTGGTCATTTGCCACTGTGGTAGGGTGTTAATTTGTGCTAACTATGAAGACTATCACTTGCGATATCGACGAAACGTTTGGGAATGTACCAAGTCAACTGTACGATACTGGAAATCATGAATACTATGTCAGATGACACAGAATTAGGTACTTTCCAAAAGGTTTACTTGTTGCGAAAACCAGCTTAAACCAAAACTTTATACTTCTCCACGTTCTTATCTTTTTCTTCATTTCTAAAGCCGGTCTTTCGAGTGTGCATCAAGTGGGCAGCGCCGAGAATCAGATGCTCGCGATCACCATCACTATGGCTGAAGATCTGGCTCAGCTGCCGGATTTAGTGGAGGAGCGACGCGTCGACATTATAGTCAACTTGCTCCCGGGACTAGCCAGAATGGCTGTAGCGCCCGGTTCTCGAGCCGAAACGCAGGCCGTCTGCGTCAAGGTGAGTCGTCCGACCTTTTTTAACTTACATTGGAATGTGCTCTCCTCCTCACATTAGTATTCATAAAAACTAAGCTAACTTTGGACCTGTGTGGCTTTTGCTTCTCTTGGCTTTTCGGTCTTTCTTGTTAATTCTTATTGAAGTTTTGTAAGAAATTCTTATCATCTACTAGACATTCTTTGAGGGCAAGCGTAGATATAATTATGGAGAAGAGCTGGCTGTTGGTGAAGCTTTTAATAGAGTGATGTCCGCGTATCCTCTTTTTCATTTAGACAGACGAATGGAAAAGATTCGTAAATTGATTTAATGATGATCTGATTCCTCTTCTGAGATCTACTACAATTCCATTGTTTGGTTACGCTTGAATCATAAGGGACCACTTATAAAAGTAAGTCTGCACAACTCCATTTTCATCCTTTTTACCCTTCTTATGTTCCTCTTTCGGCGCTTGGGTGCTTTCAACGAATTACCAACGAGGCGGCAATGATTGTCAGTAGTCTCATAGAGTATGGATGCGGAATAAAAGACGACTGAATTTAGTACTAGATTAAATGAGAAGACCTAATGGCAAATCTGATAAGATAGGTAGGTGGTGGATAAATTACAAGAAGCAAAATGAAAAAGTATGGTAGAGATATCTGTCATTTATATTATTGATCGTCGAATGTTCTTCAGGGTCTCATGGGCTGAAGCTAAGGTGCGGACGCGGGGTAAAAGAGCTGATGAGGCAATTTAGTATAGAGTACTATTGAAATGAGAACCACGTCGTTTTTGAACAGCCAATCATCAGGTTATTCTGCGGACATTTAGTTGAGTTGAGATGCTACTGTGATAGCGTGGAATGGAAGGTACGGAGATTTGATTTTCTAAAGCCTGAGGCTTGGAGATATCCGGGGCGAAGATGTGCAAGTACAAAGATGTAAGATGCAAACATGTAAAGAATGAAGGCGTAAACTGCCAAGATGAGAAGCGTGAGGTTGTATAGTACACATATATAAAGTATTCCTATTGCAAGAAGCTTTAGTCACCTCCATAAAGAGGTATACTATGAGGATAACACGGCCTGGGAGCCAAGCCTCGTGTTTATTTCTTACCCAAGAACTTTCTGCTTGTTACTTTTCAGTTATCTCATTGACATGGGGGAGCACACGATGTAAATAAACTACAAATTAGGGTCTGGAGATCAAGCTGGTGTGGCCCTCAGTATGATCGCAGTCTACAAATTAGCCCATACAACCTTTGAAGCCCAACCTTTACGACATCATGTCCATCTTTTAAATATATTCCTTCTTTGCTCACTAATATATAGTTTCTTGTCCGGTCGAGGTTTTGAATCAGTATTCTCTTTTTCGGTCACTATATACATATGTGAAAGGAGGTAGTTTCATATCTTTTCTGAATTCATTCATAGGTATGTGTTTTTATTATTCGTTTTTAACATTTCTTTTCTTTAAGATTATTGCCGATATGACTAGTGTCTGGCTGGGCCAAATGACCTGTTCACAGTCATCGAGTCTGAGTTTAACCGAGCTTGGCGGCTCCGACTTGGGCCTTGACTGTTCGCAGCCTTCGCAGGTGGACGCTACTGCAGAGGTCCCCTCTTCGCCATCCAGTAAGTCGGCCAAGGTGGCTGGGTGCGGCGGCTTCTTCAACCGCTCCTCAACATCCGGTACCGGAACTGGGCCTACGCGGCAGTCGGGCCATAGACGAGCAAAAAGGAAGCCTGGTCCGCCTGGCTCCACGGAGGCCCGGCTCCTATTGGCCGAGCAGGGCCGGCCGCGACGGTTTGTGATCGGCGCCGATGGGCCTACCATCCAACCTCCAGGACCCGAGGTGCTTGTTTCGTTGGTTGAGTTGGTCAATAAACTCCTCATACCCTATGTAAGTCCTACAAGCCACTTTAGGCTCTGGTAACATAAGGACTCTGAGTAATTTTGTTTTGTGT